ATGAAGTGTTTGACAACTTCAATCTTTTCTCCATTTGTCTTGATGTTTCTCCATTGTCTAGCTGTTCTGTGGGAGAAAGATGGGGCTTTCTGCTCCCGTAAAGACTTACAGCCTTGGAAACTCCGTACAGGGTCACCATGAGTCAGAACTGCTGCCATGGCACATAACAACAACAACAATGAATAAAAGGAATATTTTTAAATGATATTTATCCTTACTAAATCTTTTTTTTTTTTTTTTTTTTTTGTCTTTTGTCTTTTACTCTGTTTTAGATGGGCCATAAAACATGAAGGGACCAATAAACCAGACCAATGGAAACATTCCAAAGTTGAAAATCCTCTGTGGAACAAGCTGAATTATATGTGGCCAGTCCTTCCCAGTGGTCAACTTAATGAGGTTGTATAACTTAGTACAAGAGGTGGTTTTTGAGCCTTGTTGTTATTCTTACATGCCATTGGTTTCAAAGACTGGCTGGTGGATTTGAATTGCCAATTTTGTGGTTAGCAGTCCGGTTCTTATAGCACCACACCCAGCCTTAATAGGCTCCTGGCATTTGTGAGCTGTGCCCTTCACCTAGAAGGCCATGAGAGTAGAAAGGCAAGTTGATTAGAGCTGGAAAATTTCCTCAATGTAAAATCCCACGTCAGCACTCTGCTCTCTTCTTTGGGTCTCTGTATGCCCTACTTTATTGTTAGGTCAATGATACATTCTCAAAGATTGTAAATATTTCTATTCTTATATCTAGAGTTCTTTAGTTATTACCAGTGGAGGGTCTATAAATTAACCTATTTTGCCATATTTCCTAGTCTCAACCAAATTTGTGTTGGTTGATGGTTGTTATGTGCTGTAGTGTTGGAACCGACTCACAGTGACCCTGTACAGGGGTTCCGAGGTTGTAAATCTTTACAGGAGCAGAAAGCCTCATCTTTCTCCCATGAAACAATTGATAGTTTCGAACTACTGATCCTGAGACTAGCAGCCCAATTCATAACCACTACACTACCAGAGTAGGTATTGATTTTATTCCAGGTTTAAACTTTCAACTTGACTTATTTACCTAGCCATAATTTAGTATGTATTTAGCAATAGAAACAGAGCAAGAAAGGAGATAGATGTAGTTCTTACAGGGGTGTAATTTAGGCTGTGAGTAAAAAAGTCACGAGAAAGAACGAAGGCAGAGCTGATGAATAATGGACAAAGAAGGAACTCACAGAAGGTTTGGTGTCTTAGAAATCAGGGTTATTTGTTGAACCAGTTCATTCAGTCCTATGGTCAGTATGAGAAAACGTCAGCCGGCTGATTGTTTGAGTTCTTGTTGTGGTTAAGTGCATCTTGTTGTTGTTGTTAAGGGCCGTAGAGTCAGGTCCGACTCATAGCAACCCTGTACAGGGTTTCTGAGGTTGTAAATTTTTACGGGAGCAGAAAGCCTCAGCTTTCTCCCGTGAAACAGCTGGTAATTTCGAACTGCTGACCGTGAGATTAGCAGCCCGATTTGTAACCACTGTGCTACTAGAGCTCCTTATTAACTGCATCTAGTGGATTCCAAATCCTGGGGACCCTGTATAGGGTTTCTGAGGCGGGAACAGAAAGCCTCATTGTTCTCCCACAGAGAAGTTGGTGGGCTTGAATCACAGACCTTTTAGATTTCAGTTCTGCACTTATCCTAAGGAACCACCACACTCCCAATTGTTTGAGTGGGCCTGAAAATTAAATCAAAACATTGACTGAGAAACACTGTCCTGAGACCCCAATTGTCCTATTAATTCACTGACAAGAAGCTTCTAACGATGTAGAGTAATGAATAAGAAAAGACTCCAGGAAATACAGGCTATGGAACTTATTTTTGTGGCTGACTCATTGGTGGCAGCTGCTCTGAGAAATGCCTTCATGCTATTCTCACTCTTTAATAGTATTCATCATAACAGGCAATTGCTAGTATTTGTAAGGAGCAAACAGTACTTCAGAGATCTTAGAATATAGTGTTTAAAAAATATATTAGAAACATACAAGATTAATTCATTTTAGTTTATACTATGACTGTTCATCCCTGGAAAATGATTGTACGTTGAGAAGTTCTACTACTAAACACTTAAAGGTAAGGGGCAATGGATTTTCATTTTCAGGAAATAAATAGTTGGAAATAATGAGCCTAAAAGATACTTATGATTTTGAAATGAGCTACTGGATAGGGATTTTAGAATTTCTAAAATCTCCTGAATTTTTAGTAAATTCTATTATTTACGAAGTTAAATTATTCCTACTTGGAGTACAAAGGAGTCCTGGTGTGGCGCTGTAGGGTAAGCACTGGGCTACTAATGAAAAGGTCAGTAATTCAAATCTATCTGTTGATCCTTGGAAACCCTATACAGGATGCTATGAGTTGGAACGACACTTAACAACAACAATAGTAAACAAAAAGAAGGTAAACTCTATGTTTTATCACTTTGTTAAGAGATAATGATAGCTATTTGTCACCATAAATGGTAAGAAGGAGCTCTAGTAGTGATTATGAGTTGGACTGCTAACTTCAAAGTTAGCAGTTCGAAACTACCAGCTGTTCCGCAGGAGAAAGAGGAAGCTTTCTGCTCCCGTAAAGATTTACAGCCTCAGAAACCCTCTGCAGGGTCGCTATGAGTCTGAACTGACTAAGCTGCACATCACCAGCACTATGAATGGTAAAAAGGGGTTTGTAAAGCCTAGAGAATGAACTTGGAATCTTTTAATGTATTAATAGTAAGCAGATGAAGGAGGACTGATTTAACTCAGGAACTTAGGCTATTGGGTGAGGGTGCCGATGTGTTCACCAGAAACATCGCCTTCTTGAGATCCTGAGAAAAACTCTGGTTCCAGATTATGATGATGTTAGTTGTTAGTTCTGTCTAATCACATGCACCCTGCCTCTTTGCACAAGAAGTTCTCTGTTTTAGGTGAGCCATTTCTCTTGACTTTTCCTTCCAGGATTCTAAAATAAATAAATGGGGAAATTTAATCTATTTTACATCAAGACTTCAATGTGACAGTATATTTTAATGAAAAAAAAAAACAAACCCAAAAAACACAAAACTATTCTTTCCCATTCTTCCACCTATCTAACCCTTGCTTTACCATAATTTAGTTCCAAACTAATATTAAGTTGGTTTTCTCTGAGTGGCTTTTCTTTGCTAGAAAAGAGTTACTGTTCAATACTTAACTTACTGAAGAAGTTATGCATTCCACATCTGTATCAGAGTCCTGGTGTGGCGATATAGAATAAGCACTGGACTGCTAACCGCAAGGTCAGCATTTGAAACCCACAAGCCTCTCCTTGGAAACCCTGTACAGAGTTGCTATGAGTAGGAACCAACTCAACAGTACGTAACAATAACAACAACTCCTCTGTTATGCCTCACACTCAGTAAAATATTTATATAATCTGAAAGTTTTAAATGAAAATATACAAGTTTGTCTAAACCTTTGATATTTCTTTTTAGTAACCCTAGTGTTGAAAACTGGTCCCATGTTGCCCTATTAATAGGTGTTGTTTTTGCTAAGTGCCGTCGAGTCGGTTCCAACTCATAACGACCCTGTACAGGGTTTCCGAGGCTGTAAATCTTTACAGGAGCAGAAAGTCTCATCTTTCTCCCGCGGAACTGCTGGTAGTTTCAAGCTGCTGACCGTGAGGTTAGCAGCCCAACTCATAACCACTACGCTACCAGAGCTCCTTTATTAATAGGCAGTAGACATTTATCTAAATAAATACTTTAAAATCTGCCCTTGGTCATTTAAAATCCATACAGGTGAAAGAAACATACTGAAGATCAAGAATAAAATAGAACCTCATTAATTTAAATTTTATTTTTTAGAAGTCTGATAAGTTGGCCACATTGTATGCCACTATAATTAACATGGACTCCTGGTGTGGCACTGTAGGATAAGTACTGTACTGTGAACCAAAAGGTTGGTGGTTCAAACCCACCAGCTGATCCTTGAAAAACCCTATACAGGGTTGTTGTGAGCCTGAACTTAACTCGACAGCGGCACTTAACAATGATTAACACAGAGTCCTGATATGGCACTGTTGGATAAATGCTAGACAGATAACTACAATGTTGATGATTCAAACCCACCAGACTCTCCTTGGAAGCCTTGTACAGGGCTGCTAAGAGTCAGAACTGACTTGACAACACTTAAAACAACAATTATTAACACAGAGTCCTGGTATGATGTGTTGGATAAGCACTGAACTGCTAACCACAAGATAGTTTAAGCCCACCAGCTGTTCCTTGAAAATCCTATAGAGGATTGCTATGAGTTGGAACTGACTCGATGGCACTTTACCATAACAGCAGCAACATCATTAGCAGACTTGTCAAGTAAATTATTACATTTAATCTATACGGGAAAAACTGTTAAACTGAAAAGCATTCTACTCATCAGACACTTAAACATTTATTTATACTGATTTTTCCTAATTAAATTTTAATATTGCTTATTCACTAATCACACAAATTAGAGTATCAAAGTTAGATGCTGTTTCCGAACATTGACTCTTTACAATCCTTCAGATTTTGTTTGTAGTTTATTTAAAGCACATTTTCTTGATCAATATGATCATACATTATAATGTTATGATTCTAAAAGTTTATCAGGGAATATATCCTAAATCACTACATATTTTACTAGCTTATGAGGAAGTTATCTCTTCCATCAGATAACCACTAGATCTTGTGTTCTTTATTAGCTTAGTGTGTGGCTTTAGCTTTGTCATGTCAGTTGAACATTCCCAGGACCCTGGGACCACCTTTGTAATCATTACCACTCATCAGTCTCTTCCCCTTCTTTGGGTGTTGGCATCTATAACCCCTGTAGGAAATTTCTCACTTATACTTTTTATCTATATGGATTGTGATGTCTTTGCCTGGGTTTCCCAGAAATCAAAACATGAGCACATGGCTTATGCATTACCACTTAGTTACGAAGTGCGGGTCCAGGAAGCAGAAGTAGAGGAGAAGCAGGGAAAGAAGAAAAGCCAACATGAGAATATGTTATCAAGCTGGTCACTGCTAAGTGTAATTTGCTATTCTCTGAGAGCTGTAGGGAGTCTTGGTGTGGCACTGCAGGGTAGGCACTGAGTTGCCAACTATATGATAAGTGGTTCAAATCCACCAGTCACTCCTCAGAAACCCTATGTAGGGTCACTATGAGTCAACAGCAATTCTATAGTGCTTAACAACAAGAAGAAGCTATTGGCAAGCACAGTGGCTCTGTAGAATAAACACCGGACTTCAATTACAAGTAGGCAGTTTGAACCCACCATCTGCTCTGTGGGAAAAAGATGAGGCAGGCATTCTGCTCCTGCAAAGAAACCCTATACAGGGTCTCTATGATTCAGAACGAACTTGCTGACCCTTAACAACAACAACAAACCATAAAACAGCTTTCTCAGGAGAGTCTCTTCTGGAAAAGAAAGAGGAAAGAATTTATCCACCAAGCTCCATCTCACTTTGGTCCAAGGTTTGCCTAAGGTCAGGAAACTAGAGTGGTGGAGGCAAAGGTTCTAATTCCGATAGCCTGGCTTCAGAGTCCATGCTTTTCTTTCATTCGATAGGTTCATGCGTGTCGGTCAGTGGTAAGAACTAAAGAGAAACTAGAAGCAAGGATAGAGGGTAGTGTTAATGGGGTTAGGGCAGGACAAGGTTTAGACATTGTAGAGAGATTCATCAGAGAAGACTTCGTTATGGTGATACCTGATAAAGTCCTAAAGGACATAGAGACTTTGCAGGTCACTGCAAGGCTTTTACTCTGAGAAGGGAAGCCATTGGACATTTGGGACAGAGGAATGATGTGCTCTGCCTGAAATAGTAAAAGGGTCATTATGATAAGTGAGTGGAGGGGGCCTAAGGGTAAATAGTAAAAGGGTCTTTATGATAAGAGAGTGGAGGGGGCCTAAGGGTAAAGCAGGAGTAAGCAGTTAGGTGGCATTTGCAATCTCTGGGTGAGTCCGTCTAGTGGATTGGACCTGGATAGTGGGAGTTGAGGTCATGAAAAGTCATTGATATATTTTGAAAGTGGAACCAGGTTTTGCTGATGTATTAAGTTAGAAATTAATAAATGGTAGTAACTAGAAGAAACCCAATAATGGGGAACTAAGTAAGAAATTTTTGGCTAATTCATAGGACAGAGAAGAAATCATAATGAAAAATTTAAATATGTATAAAGTATATATTTAGAATGAAAACAAAATGTGTGGCATGCATCTAAAGCATACTTGAAGGAAATTTGTAACCTAAGATTCTTATATTAAAAAGGAAGAGACATTGACAATTCAGGAAATAAGAATCCCACTAAAAAGTTAGTGAAGCAGCGAAAGAATGAACTCAAAGAACTAGGACAGAAATAGTAAATTATAAAAACAGAAATTGTTTTCTTTCTTTCTTTTTTTTTTTAAAGAAACAACAACAACAACAACAAAGGAAGATATAAACCAGAAAGAATCAACAAAACCAAAAAATTGGTGTTTTGAAAATAAATTGACATACTTGGTCAAAACTGATTAAGAAACAGAGAAAACATAAATAATAATAGGAATTTAAAACAGATATAGATTCTATAGAGATTAAGAAGCTAAAGGGAGCTATTGTAAGTAACTATGGTAATATAATAATTTAAACAAAATGATACAATTCCTGGGAAAAAAGTAATCTAGCAAAACAAAGAAGTCGGAAACCTAATTGGCTTCTCATCATTGAGGCAATAGAATCATTAGTTAACATTTCCCCACAAAGAAAATTCCAAATCCAAATACTTTTTTTGGTGAATTCTGCTAAGCATATAAGAAACGAATATCCTAGAATGCTGGGGAAAAAAAAAAAAAAAAAGGCAGGGATGGGCCCGCAGGGAAGGCAATACTTCAACCTAATTTCAAATCTTGATGGTGGTTATGTGCCTTGGAGTCAGTTCCAAGTCATAGCGACCCCTATAAAGGGTTTCTGAAGCTGTAGATCTTTACAGGAGCAGAAAGCCTCATCTCCCGCTGAACGGCTGGTAGTTTCGAACTGCTGACCTTAAGGTTAGCAGCCCCACTCGTAACCACTATGCTACCAGAACTCCTTCTTGCCATTTTTGTGATAAGCCCTGTAGGAGACAGGTGAGATTTTCGGCTTCCACAACTCTGGTAGCGTAGTGGTTACGAATTGGGCTGTGAACCGCAAGGTCAGCAGTTCGAAACTACCAGCCACTCCGCGGGAGAAAGATGAGGCTTTCTACTCCCGTAAGGATTTACACCCTCGGAAACCCTGTACAGGGTCGCTATGGGTCGGAACCGACTCGATGGCACTTAACAACAACAACAACAACAATGTAAAGCCTTGGAAACCCTATACAGGGTCACTGTGAGTTAGAATCGACTCAACGGCACTTTAACAGCAACAACAATCTCATTTATTAATATAGATACAAAAATCCTAAAGAAAATATCAGAAAACTGAATTCACTAATCTAGTTAAAAGAAAATATATAATTTATATGTATTTATGCAAAGGTATAAGGGTTATTTGTTGTTGTTGTTAAGTGCTGTGGAGTCGGTTCCGACCCATAGTGACCATGTACAGGGTTTCCGAGGGTGTAAATCTTTACGGGAGTAGAAAGCCTCATCTTTCTCCCGCGGAGCAGCTGGTAGTTTCGAACCGCTGACCTTAAGGTTCGCAGAGAATTAAGCACTTAAAAACAAAATCTTACAAACTTGGTATCAGTGAGAAATTACCACTAAATTTGCTATAAATGCCCTACTGTAGACCAGCTAGGAGCGCAGTGGCTCCATACGATAAGCACTGGCCTGTAAACCACAAGGGCTGAGGTTTGAGCCTGCCAGTTGCTCCATAGGAGAAAGACAAGGCTTTCTGCTCCTGCAAGGATTTAAACGTCTAGGAAACCCTATACAGGGTCGCTATGAGTAAGAACCAAACCGACGGAACTTAACTAACAATAGACCAGAGCTCTGGTAGCGTAGTGGTTACAAATAGGGCTGTGAACCTCAAGGTCAGCAGTTCGAAACTACCAGCTGTTCCGTGGGAGAAAGATAAGGCTTTCTGCTCCAGTAAAGATATACAGCCTCGAAAACCCACAGGGTTGCTATGGGTCGGAATCCACTCGACGGCACTTAACAACAACATACCAAACAAACTTAAAAAAACAAAACAAAAACAAAAACAAAAACTAAGCAAGCTGATTCTTATATAATATGAAATAGCAATGAACCAATAACCAGTTCCTGAGGTAGAAGAAGGTACTTGCCCTATCAGATATCAAGACTTACCACATATAAAACCACTGTAATTAAGGCAATATGGTACCATGCAGGAATAGACAAATTTACAAACTGAAGAGAAGGGAAAACACAAAAATAGGCCCACACTTATCTGCAACTGTTACATTTTACAGGACAGTGGTGAATACTGCTAGGAGAGTTATTTATCAAAGTAGAGAAACAAATTGTAACCCTGCTTAAAACCATCACCTTTCATCACTCCTTTCCTCATTTATGCTTTCTTCCCAAGTGTCTCTCTCTCTGTGATGGCACACCGTCCACCTCAGCACTCAAGCTACAAACCTGGGATTCTCATACATACTCTCTGGCCATCCATTCTCTCTTCCATTGCTGTGCTAACTTCATCTAAGTCTTCAGGTCTCAGGTAGGCTCTCCTATGTGGTCCCACCACTCCCCATACTTAACTGTGCTGCTGTTACACTTACACAACTGTAATTGCCTATCTTCTTCTAGGTAGATTTGTGAGGATCCTCTATAACATCCTTGAGGGACAGTATTCCAATTTCCAGCGTCTAGCATAGTACCTGGAACATAGTAAATTATATTCATTCCTGAATGATTACCAACTGACTTTGAGTTCTACAACTAAAACATCTGAAATGCATTTGAGTGCTTTTATTATCTCACTCTGGTGTTTGGTATGTTCCCTGAATATATTTTTCTTTGCCAAATAGGCATAGTTTAAGATAGTAGCATTTTGTTGTTATTGTTATATCATATAGTGGCCCTGTACAGGGTTTCCAAGGAGTGGCTGATGGATTTGAACCACTGACCCTAGGTTTGCAGTCCAGTACTTATCATCCCAGGATTCCAATATTATTTTAGACTATTGTAAAACTATTTTCACATATTCTTTCTTTCACACTGATGAAGGATATTTTCTAAAATGATGCTTCTCTGAAAGATAATTGAAAATTCATTCATGTTGCATCATTAAACAGGTAGTTCCATGTGTTTTTAAAATGATCTTTCCTATTTATTCAAATAAAACATTAATTAGGTATGTATGGACCATCTTAGTGTCCAATATATTTTTGTTGAATGCATGCAAGATCTAAAGGTAAAGAACAATCTGGAAATTACTTTTCTTATTTGTTGCTAAGGCAATACCTTTTATTTCCTATTTATATATTTTTTCTTAGTCTAATCTTTTTTCTTCTTCTTTTTTTCTCATTTCTTTCTGAAGAATTTTGACTGGCCCATAGAAGGACTGCTTGTTCCCAAGAGTCCTCCCATGAAGAAGCCCATCTGTAAGACAGTGGAGCAGTGTGTTCCTGTGAAACTCCGAGTTCTGCAAAATGGAGACAACATTAAAAAGAGGGCTCTTACTATAATTGGTCCAGGCATGTCATCTAGATGGAAAGCCCAGTAAGAACAATTTCTTCCTACCTCTCAATGAGTATACATTCTAGCGTCTACAAATTTTGTCTTCTTGCGTATAAATGTTTTCTGGGAAGCTTTGTGTTTAATTATTGGTTTTTTGTTTTGTTTTTTAAAAAGCATCTTGATATCTGGAGATGAAAATAAATACTAAGATCCATTTGCTTTCTCTATCAGAAACTTAACCTCTGCTCAGTTATGATAAACAAAGAGAAGATACTGACTTGGAAATGAGTAATACTGACACAAAAAAAGTTCTGTGTTCATTTTGTCCATTTTGAGTTAGCATTTCTTTTCTTTGGGCTTTACTACTGTATCCTTAAATAATTGAACTTATATAAATTACTTCTTAAATATAAATTTATAACTACTTATTTATTTTATCATAGACAATGATTAGATTATATTTAATTTTTTGAATAATTGATGAAAAAATGCAGTTCTCAAAAAATATAACTTCATTCAATTTGTACTCTCAGCTTGGGAAAACACTTTAAAATGTTATCAGTGTAGAAAAGCATGAACGTGCATCTTAGGTAACCTTGTAACATTTTAAGATTGGGGATAAAAATCTTTAACATTGGAGAAGAATCACCTGCTATATTTTCATTAAATTTCATGGCAAAAGGAATAATAGATCATTGAAACATTCTGATGCAGAGAATGAGTTAAACACATTGTTTCTCATATTATTAGCAATGATATTACTCTTGACCTTTCTTTTGAGATGGTTAGAATATTTGAGGCTGTGATAATAGTTTAATATTACTTTCTCCACAATGATTAAATATACTTCATACATCGCTGAACAATGAGTAACATTCAGATCGGCTGTCCACTGAACTGCCTGTAAAGATGATAAAGTAAAAAATTAATCTTCAAAGTAAAGTCAAGCCTGAAATTGAAATCTTTGACGCATACATTTCATAATTAGCTTATTCTACTAGATGTAAAATGTGAAGGTAATGCCCTTAAAGTAGTACATGTTGCTTTTTTTTTTTTTTTAATATCCAAAGTTAACAAATAATTTCTGTCCTTTCCTAAACCTGTTTTTTCTATATATTTAATTGTGGATCAAAATTACATGGAGAATTTATTTTATCACACTAGTATTTTTTAATGTATAGTTCAAACAGGTTATCCAAATATAATTTGAGAGAATTGTTCATTTGAACAACTATTTGAGCAGGGTATGTAAATTTCTCCACTGTCTATTATACTGTGGTCATTGGACCACATGTCCTGGTTAACCAAATATTCAGGTATTAGAGAGCCATTTTGTTCATGATATGAATTAATTATTCTCCAATAATTGAAATATATTGGCATTCACTTAATACTAAAACACCATTTACTAGTCTAATTCTTCATGGCGATTCAGAAAACATTCTACAGGATCATCAATAGCAGTTTTTTCCAGAGCTATTTGTAAGTACAGATTCCAAGAAGGTTTCAATGGAGTAAGTTTCCACTAATATTTCAGGGCAGCTGTGCTGTGCAGTTCCAGAGGGGACCTTGTACATTTTCACTGGAGCTGATGAGTGACCTCCCAAAGTTGTATAAGGTGGAGGCCCTGCTATGTTACTTGTATTGTACCCAAGTTAAATGTCTTATCTTTCAAAATAAATAAATTCTCATGACAGATAGAGATACATTACTCACATTAATCTGAAATTTATAAAAAGAAAGGGAATGGGGCTGCTGGGTGACTTGACAAACAAAATCAGGCCAGAATGAACAAATATAGATCCATTTTAACCAAGTCCTACTCTAATAGCGTGCCATTCTTTAGTTATTTAATAATTCACTCAAGGAAGTTTTGATTTTTGTTGTTTGTGGTGGTTTTTCCACCTACAAAGTTAGAGGAGGGTATAAAAAGCATTTGTTCCTGCCTTAGGAGTTCCTTCATCACTCTGAGTGATCGTATCATTGGGCGGTGCTGCTCTTTCACGTGGGGCAGCTGTTAAGTTGGAATCAACTAGACAACAACTAAAAAAAGAAGTTTTGATAATGGCTGCCAGATCCTTATAAATTACGACCACCAAAATTTTTCTGTGTCACAGGAGAATATAATGTTTCAGAAACCTAAGTTCATAGAGGAAAATTTTTATGATACTTTAAGGAATTGTAACAGGGAAGTATTGAATGAAGCTATTCAAGCATGAACTTCTGATTCTATACAATTTCAATGAAGGGCCTTCAAAAATTCATGGGATATGGAATTAAAGGATAACGGAATTTTTCCACAAACTTTCTGAAGCTTTCTCATATGTATGTCGTATAACCCGTGGACTTATTCAAGCTCCTTGATAGAGACTTTAAGTCTCTGTATGGATTGTCCCTGCATATTTCTTGAGCTCTCTTATTAGCACTCTTCCTATTTCCCACTCCATCCCAACTTCCTCCCCATCGCAACACCTCTGATCTACATTTTCCGAATGTGTTTGGACTTCATATCTAGATGTTGACCCTGAACTTGACTCCCTCCCAGTACCTGAGTTAGCTGTAGTTACCATATACTTCATTGCTTCTATTGCCATGGCTTTCCACCAGCATAGTAGGTACCACTCTGTTTGTGATTACTACTTACATCTCCATTCATGAGATACAGAACAGAGATGATGCATTCAGTATAATTATTATTCATTCAGATGTGTACTGTCCACTATGGTATGGTCATGGAACAGTGTGTCCTAGCTAATCCAATAGTAAAGCATTAGAAAATCACTTTACTTGCACACATTGAAGATCCAAAATTGGTCTAAATCAGTCTTATGGAATGAATTAATTAATGAATAAATGGATAAATATATATAATCACCATTTCTAAAAAAGGAATCAAGAACTGTATGTTATAATTATTTTGTTCATTTAATAATATATAGATTATAAAAATGAACAGAGTAGCTTTCTAACTTCAAAATATGAATGGATGTATATTCCAGGGAAGCATTCTTTTTCTATGACTATCATTTATTTTTAAGATGAAAAATGGATTGATAATAGAAAAATATATTAACAAAATATAATTGATCAAATGAATATAATGTCTACATGATCTTCAAAGTTGACAAATTCATATCTTATAAAATTTACTTATAGGGTAAATGTTTACAAAGTTTAATATTTAAATGTGATACTTTTTGAAACTTTTGTTTTAGAAAGGCAAATTATTTAAGGGAAAACCATGATAAAATAGGACCTCATGGTTTGCATATATTTAAACAAGTTGAAAAAGGTAATTGACAATGTATATACTTCAGATATATTGTCAGGAGGGACCAGTCTGCTAAGAAGGATATCATGTTTGGTAAGGTGGAGGGTCAGAGAAAAAGAGGAAGACCTCCCACCCGCAAGATAGATTGGCAAAGTGGCAGCATCAATGGGCTCAAGCGTGGCCACAATAGTGAGGTTGGCCCAGGATCAGGCAGTGTTTCATTCTGCTGTGCATAAGGTTGCTATGAGTCAGTACTGACTTGATGGTACATAACAACAACAGATGTATCAATCAAATTTTGTATCATTTGTTTCAGAAATGTAGACATTGAAAGGAGAGAGAATGTGAAAGCTCATGTCACTAAACATTCAGAAACAGAAATGAACCAGACTGAATTTCTTCAATTTTTGGAGAGGTAAATAATTAATAATCTAAAGACGAAGGTATTTTCTATTCAAATGCCTGGATCATTAGGTATTCAGCATAATGGAAAATGCACATGTCTCTACAGAAGAAAACAGTGGTTAAATACTGATTCTGCAGTTTTTAATATGTGAATTATCTTAACTATCTGACAGTTTATGATACCAGTGTTAATTAATATAAAAATAATTTTTCAAATTTCAAGGTCTGGCAAATCCCCATAGCTTTCTGAGCTACCAAGGTATTTTCATTCTCTATGCATTTCACAATTTCATATCTTTCATCAGGTTATATTTTCCTAGACTGAGGGTAGGGAAGTTGCCTTTTTATATTTTTTATGTACCTGGTATGGGGATGTAGGATAAGCACTGAACTGCAAGGTTGGCATTTCATACTCACCACAAACCTTATACAGGGTTGCTATGAGTCAGAAAAGACTCAGTAGCACTTAAGAACAATAACAACCCAATTTTTTAAATATCATCAAACTCTATCATACTTTAGGGGACCCTGGTAGCATAGAGGGTTGGTTATGCAGGGGGCTGCTAACCACAAAGTCAGCAGTTAGAATCTACCCACTGCTCAGCAAGAGAAAGATGAGGCTTTCTGCTCCCGTAAAGATTTACAGCCTCAGAGACCCTGTGCTAGTTCGCTATGAGAGGGAACCAACTCTATGGCATACAACAAGCACCAACACAATATCGTATTTAAAGTGGATTATAATTTTTTCTTTGATCACTCTTTTCTAACACAAATGGATTTCCAGACAATTCTATAACTCCTCAAAGGTAGAACACTTGATACGGATTTTATTTGTCAAAAATGGCACAACAGTTTTATAGAATTTAATGAACATTATGTGCAAAAATGCATTTAAAAATAATAGATGTAAAGCTTTGTTTTGTTGGTGCCTACCTGTGATATTAGAGGAGCTCTGGTAGCGTAGTGGTTATGAATCGGGCTGCGAACCTTAAGGTCAGCGGTTCGAAACTACCAGCCGCTCCGCGGGAGAAAGATGAGGCTTTCTACTCCCGTAAAGATTTACACCCTCGGAAACCCTGTACAGGGTTGCTATGGGTCGGAACCGACTCGATGGCACTTAACAACAACAACAACAAAAGCAACCATTGGAGTAGGAGGCAAGGACCTGAGTTTTAAGGCCAGGTTTACCATGAACAAGCTGGGAGGCAAAACCCTTCCTAAGGCTCTTTCCTCATCTGTTACACAGGAGGTTTGGAAAAAGAGGTAAGAGGACATAATATGATTATTATCAATGGGCATCTGTTGTGTTCATATTATGGGCATAGACTGATGTTGAATATTCTACAGAAGACTTAAAAGCAGAACAAAACAATGCAAGGCAAGGCATTCTTTGCTCTTAAGAAACTCCCAATTTTTTTGTGGCAGAGAATTTGCTTAATGAAACAATTAGAAAACCAAACAGGGTAATATTTAACTGAATAGACATTAAAATGATCAAGTGACAAAGGTATATGACATGTTGTGTGGTAAACCAGGAAGGAGAGACCCTTGTGAGGGGCAGCTCAGTGAAGACCACATGGAGAGAGTGAGGCTTCAAATGGGCTTTGATGAAGAGAAGAGAAATGAATACAGAAGATAAGGAAGGAAGGAGGGAGTGGGGGAAGAGAAGAAGAAAGAAGAGGAAGGAAGGAGTGAAAGGAGAAGGGAAGCACACACTCAGAGCTTCACTGAACCATACCACTCTTTGGAAATAACTGGAACTCATTTTGTTAACTTAGGGGCTGAGCTAAAGGAAAAATAGGTGGGACTCCAGAGAAGGCCATCCGAGTGGGTGTTTGCAGAAGGAGGTCTCTGTTATTGCAGAGTTCTGGTCTGGCACTGTAGTATAAGCATGGGACTGTTAACCACAAGGTCAGCAGTTCAAACCCACCAGCCACTCCTTGGAAACCCTATAAAGGAACTGACTCATAGCTTGTAACAATAATAGCATGTGGATCTGGGAGACACAGCTTTCTTACCTCTCCTTCCTTTTTCTCTCAGGGACCTCAGGAGTGGTGTTCCAGACACCAGCTCCAGCTGGTGTTTCTCTGCTCCATCCTTGAGAAAGCAGTTAGAAATATGACTCTGCTTGCCTTGGACTCCATAATCATGTTAATTTCTGGGGGAACTCATTTCTAGAACTTTACCTTCAGTTTCGGGGAACTGAGAGTTCAAGCAGCACCGCATGCCTCAGTCTCCTCACTTTTTATTCTATGATGATGCCCTATGAGGAACAGTAAACAGCCTAGAGAGATTTAGGCTCCAATTTCAGTCCTCACGATCGGTGGTTCAAGCTCACCAGCTGCTCCTTGGAAACCCTATACAGGGTCACTATGGGTTGGAATTGACTCCACGGCACTTAACAACAAGAACAACACTTAGTAGCTGCGGAGTCCTGGTGTGGCGCTGTGGGTTAATGCGCTGGACTGCGAAGTTGGTTTGAACTGCAAGGTCTGTAGTTCAAGCTCACCAGTTCCTCCTCAGAAACGCTATACAGGGTCTCTGTGAGACGGCACTTAGCAACAACAAATTTACCAGCTGGGGTCTTGGTGTTGATAAAAAATGGACTACTAACCACAAGGTCAACAGTTCAAACCCACCAGCTGCTTCTTGGAAACTGATCACTATGAATTGGAACTAACTCCATGGCATTTAACAACACTTACTAGCTGTGGCATTGTGGGTTAATGCTCCAGCCTGCAAAGCCATTTGAACTACAAGTTCGGTGGTTCAAGTTCACCAGTTGCTCCTTGGAAAGGGTTGCTATGGGTTGGAACTGACTCAACGGCACTTAACAACAACAAGTAGCTACACAGCCTAGGGCAAGAAACTCAATATCCAGGTTCAGTTTCCTCATCAATAAAATGGGCCTCTCAGAAATGGTGTGAGAATTAACTGAGAGAGTAGAACTGGGATGCTTATAGCCCTTGGTCCACTATAATAAAGTGGTGCTCACATTTTATGGGCCAGGTACTTATAGGTCTTCATGTACTTAAACCACATATTATTCCTGTGAGACAAATATTACTATATTGTTCACTGATGGAGCAAATGAATTTCACAGAAGTTAAGTAACTTCTCCAAGATAACTCAGCCAGTATGTGAAAGGGCTAAACTTGGAATCCTGGTAATCTGACTCTGGGGTCCTAGTGTAGCGCTGTAGGATAAGCACTGGGCCACAAGTCAGTTTGAACTGCAAGGTTGGTGGTTCAAACTCACCAGTTTCCTTGGAAACCCTATACTGGGTTGCTATGAGTTGGAATCAACTTGTAGGCACTTAGCAATGACAACAAGTCAGACTCTGGAGCCCACACGCAGTATTAGGTGCTTAAGAGCAAATTCCTTTCTTCTCATCTTGTTCTCTGTTTATTGTGACTGGCATGTGAGCAAGCTAGAGGAATTAAATACAGCTGAAACAGCTCACCCCAATCCTTTCCAACCCACCTAAATGTGCCAATCAAATTTAGTACTCTGAAAAACAAGGCTTGCAAAAAATGGAGGAAGAAAGACTTGCCAACCACTCATTCCTTCTTTCCTCCCACTTATCACCTAAAGTAAGATACTCTCATGGTCCAAACATTCTCCTCATCAAAATGTGAGTGGGAACAGATGTTATAAGTAGCTTGGCCCTACAAAGAGATCATCTGGGGAAACTTCTTAGGCATCATGGAAACAGCACCAGATGTAGCTTGTGGCATCAATCCTCTCACGGATCCCCTCAGCCCTACCCCACTTGGTCTGGTCCTAACTTGTAGTCCACGAGTCTGCAGAATTGGCACATGAAAGGCAGGGACTTTGTTCCCATTGGTTTAATTCCTTCTGAGACTCTTTCAGAGAAATGGAAGGCCTAATGATTGCCTCGGTTGCTTTATCCTATTAAAGGAATAAAGTTTTAAAATATTTTTCATACCACAGAGTCTTGCTGATAAGTATAAAGTCACCTCCAAGTGGAATCCTAGTGTCACATGATAGGGTAAGAACTGGGCTTTTAACTGCAAGGTCCACAGTTCAAACCCACCAGTTACCCCTGGGAAACCCTACTCAGGGTTACTATGAGTCTAACTGACTCAGCGGTACTTAGCAACAATAATTCATGATCATAAATAGCATTAAATTGCTAACTGCAAGGTTGGTGGCTCAAACCCACCAACTGCTCCTTGGAAACCCTATATAGGGCAGCTATGAGTTGTAAGCAACTCAACAACACTTAACAACAACAGTATAAAATGTATTCAATAAGAATCACTTACTCTCCTTTTCCAAAGACAGGATCTTTACAACAGTGTTCTGATTGAAAATGTCCCATCTCTCTCCTTTGTCTCTTTCCCATTCCTCACAGTTTTACCTCTATTTTAAACTGGCTCTAGACATCCTAGTCTTCTGTACTTCCAGTTCATCTTCCACTCCTCTGACAGAGCTACCTTCCTAAAAGACAGATCTAATAAAACCTTTGCTCATATCTTCAGTGGCTTCCTGATATTTATAGAGGAGAAACCAAGTTCATTAGCCTGGAAGCTTAAGTGCTTTCAAATTGGTACCTAAGTTCTTTTCCAGCTTCATCTTTCCCCTCCTTCTATCACTTAATTTCAGCAAACAAAATTCTTCCTCTGGGTCCTGCCATTGCTCAGTGAACTCCTACTCATCCTTCAAAGTCCAATCTAAAAGATTCCTCCTTAGATAGTCTCCCTTGAAGGAATTTATTGCTCTTTCCTCTATATTCTTGCAGACACTGGCCAGATTCCTATGACAACATGCAGACAGACTGCTGACCTGTCAGTCCCCCTTTCTGGACTGAGAGCTCCTCAGGAAACAGGGAAGCTGTATCTTTATCTTGGAATTCCTAAAGTTCTGTGCTAAGCATGTTTCCATTTAACCCTAATTCTCATAACAGCCCTGGAAAGAAAGACATTTACAATTGTTGTTGTTGTTAAGTGCTGTCAAATTGGTCCTGACCCATAGCCACCGTGTGTAACGTTTCCGAGGAGCAGCTGGTGAGCTTGAACTGCCGACCTTGTGGTTCAAACAGACTTTTCAGTCCAGCGCATTAATCCATAGTGCCACACCAGGACATTTACAGTAATAGAGATTAAAAAAAATTGTTCACGCTCACAACTTGGATAGGGGAAAGAGACACACAGGGTCTGATGGCCATCAGAGCCCGACTCTTGGCTGTCTCCTAATCCTGCAGAGGGACTGGTCATTAGAGATTCAAGTCATTAATAACTTTTATTTTTTCTCTTCTCTTCTCTAAGGAGCTCTGGTAGTGCAGTGGTTACGAATCAGGCTGCAAACCGCAAGGTCAGCAGTTTGAGACTACCAGCTGTTCCGCAGGAGAAAGATGAGGCTTTCTGATCCCGTAAAGATTTACAGCCTCTGAAACCCTGTTCAGGGTCACTATGGGTTGGAAGTGACTCGACGGCATTTAACAACAACAACTGGAAGCTTATTCAATGCAAAGTCAATTTCTGTGTGTGTCTATGTGTTTGTCTTTTTACAGGTGCACTGAAATTTTAAAATTACCTTCTGCAGCTCGGAGACTGTTCAGTGAAAAGGGAAAGGAAATCTTTGACTTAAAAGACCTGCAAAGAGATGAACTGGTAAAGATGTGAATTTCTGGTATATGTCTTTAGCCCATTGGGGAAACTTTCAGACCATATCTTTGACAACTTTTTAGCTTTGCATGCGTTCTCCTTTCTGTCAGGGACTCAAATGGCATGAATACTAAATTTTGGTTTTTCTTCTAGGTCCACAGAACCTCAGAACCTGAGCCTCTATTCTTTTTTTTTTTTTTTTTAAGATTACTATTTACTGTTTGTCAAGATGGTAATTTCTGTTGTCCTTTCAATTCACTAATTCTTTCCTCTGCCTTCTCAACTCTGCTTTTCATTTCATACATTGAGATTGTTCCTTGATTTTTTATTTCAGGTATTGAAATAGTCTTAAATTTCCATTTGATTCTTCTTTATGTCCTCTATTGCTTTGCTGAGATTTTCTAGTCTTCCATTATTTGAAGTTTGATTTTTAATTGCTATTGAAGCATTTTTTAAAAAAATGTCTACTTTAAAATCCTCAGAGTATTCTGACACTGCTCATTATTAGTCATCTCATTGATAACTCATTCAAGATGGATTTTCTATTGAATGCTAAATCTTGATGTGGCGCTGTGGGTTTATGCACTGGACTGCAAAGTCAGTGGTTCAAGCTCACTAGCCGCTCCTTGGAAACCCTATACAGGGTTGCTGTGGGTTGGAACTCACTCAATGGCACTTAGTAATAACAACAAGATGTTATTAAATCTTCAGTTTTGGCACCACTCTGGCAGGAGAATGGGTGGTGTGTGTGTCGCTTTGTTACTGCCAAAATTGGGGTGGCGGTTCTGGTTTCCCATTTGGTCTCTATTGATAATAGGGTAGAGGAGTACCTTGTTGCTATTGGTCAAGGATGGTGCAGCGCTCTGTGGGCTAATGCGTCAGACTGCAAAGTCATTTGAACTGCAAGGTCTGTGGTTCAAGCTCATCAGCTGCTCCTTGGAAACCCTATAGAGGGTCACTATGGGTCAGAATCGACTCAACGGCACTTCACAACAACAATATTGGTCAAAGATGGGGGTTCTGGCTGCACACTAGGCTTCTGCTGACACCACCTTGCCTGGGAGGGGCAGTTGTGCCTTATTATGTTGTTCATATGTCATTTATTGGCACTGGTACAGGGGTGACCTCATTACTGCTGGGTAGTGGTGAAGATCCTGAGTTTCCTCATACCACCCAGGCAGGGAGCAGAAGGGATGTCTCATTACCAATGGGTAAGGGTGGAAGGCATTCCTCCCATGAGTGGATGGGGGTAAGGTGCAGTGTACTCATTACCATGTAGTGGCAATGAAAGTCTTCGCTTCCAACTCAGCTTTCTCTGACACCAACCTGGGTGTGGGGGTGAGGCAATAGAGAATAGGAGCTTCGTTATGGCCTGGTAAAGGTTATAGTCCATGCTCCCTATTTGGCCTTTGTTGGTAGGCATGGAAGAGGGAGAGTGTTTTCTGTGGTGTTTGGATGTAGTAAAATGGCTATTGTCTAAATATTTTCTTTCTTTCTAGGCTTCCCTAGAAAGGGCAGGGGCTTTTGTTGTTGTTGATGTCTGTTCTCACTGGTGTGTCCAAGTTGCCAACTTCACCAACAGTGTGGTATCTATAAGTCAAAAAGAAAACCCAGAGAATCTACCACCATATCTCCCTTGGGGCCCAAGGTCCCTAGCTGCTCTGCGGCACCTCTCTACCCTTCAGAGTATTTAGTAATAGAATAAGGAGTATTTCTTCATCTTTCAGAAGAGAAAGTCTTTTTCTTAATGTTGTTGTTGTTGTTAAGTGCCGTCAAGTCAGTTCTGACTCACAGTGACTCTGTATAAGACTTCCGAGGAATGGGTGGTGAGCTTGAACTACCAACCTTGCAGTTCAAATGACTTTGCAGTCCAGAACAATAATAACCCACAGCACTACACCAGGACTCCTAATGGAGGCATATACATAATACATAATGTTTTGTATTCTGTGTTATTACTTAATAAGTCATAAACATCTTTTCATATCATTTCATGTTCATTTATTTTAAATAACCACACTGTATACTTTTTTATATGTTTGCAGTTTGTCTTATTCAGTATTCACTCATTATTGCATCTTTGGATTAGTTCTACAATTTTTAAAATTATACACAGTGGTACTATGAACACACTTGTTCAAAAATGTTTCCTAGATCCCTAGCAATTACCTTATGCTAAACTTCTAAATGTAGAATTGCTATATCATAGAACAGACAGACAGTTCCTGAGTTACAAACAAGATCCATTCCTATGTGTCTTTAAGAAGAACTGTCACTAAGGCACAACAGAAGCTTAAAGTTCTTATTTAACATGTTTTAGTGCAAGAAAAGTCTGAAAGCTTTTTCAATAATTTAAAAGCTACACATACAGCAAGTGAAGGTGACCGTGATGAAGAATTTGTTGCAAGGAGGGGTTGGTTCCATTGTTTCAAAGTGAGGGCAAATGTATTATAACATTAAAGGGCAAGTAGGAGTTGTGCATAAGTCAGACATTCATAACCGAAACACTGCCTGTACATAATTGTCCTGATTCCTTTTGCATAGATTTGTTTCATGTGTTAGCCTTAAGGGAGGACTAATGGCACAACATCAAAATACAATTCAATAAACGCACTTGTACAAATTCAATTCTACCTGGAGAACAAACAAGATGGCGGATCGGGTGTACCTGTGGTAAAGAGCTCCGCCAACAACAACACGGAATACCCGACCAAGCAGGCTCAGGGGCTTGTTCCAGAACTCTGAACCACATATAAAGGAATACTTAGAAGGTTGGAAGGCTCACAGCTGGCAGAATTTGTGGCAGAAGCAAGAACTCTATTGCTTTCTAGTCTGGAATGCTCGGCTGCTCCAGGAGCCGCCATCTTGGGTGAGACCACGTGGGGGAAGGATCAGAACAGCCACAGGCGCCGGGCAGAACCGCAGAGATAAAGGTGTGGACATTCTTTTCTTTTGGTATCTGTTCATTGGTCCCTTGCTGTCTGCACACTTCCATTCTGGTAACTATAGGGGTGCTTGAGCTAGTGGGCACCCCAGCCCCACCCTTGGAGGGTTCTACTATGCATGCACACAGATCTCCTTGAAATTTAAAGAGGCAGTTTCCAATTAAAACCAAACGGACACAGCTGGCCCTGAACTGTTTTCAACTAGGAAAAAAGTCCTGAACAGGGATTGTGGAGTGGGACAAGCAGACAAAAGAGGATATAAGCCAAAAATTAAATCCTAAGTTACGTCAAAACGACCAACAGTGGTATCTTGAAACTTCTCAGGAAGAAGAGTGAAAAGGGAAGCCCATTTCCTGATCACATCTACCTGGAGGCATTCAGA